GAGATCCTCTTACTGGAGCTCCGGATATAATAGAATATAGAGCGGGGTCCGCTCTTATATGACGGGGAGTCATGATTGAGGCCTCCAGCAGCTGCGTGTTCACACTACCAGACGGTTCTCGGGCTGCACTTCCTCTGAGCTCCACAAAGTGGTGATCTCACTTCTACCCAGACAGGAAGTCTCTATGGTAGACAGGAAGTGGTCAGGTACAGACAGGACATGATGTCAGGTATAAATAAGAAGGGTGAGAGGTGAGCCTGGAGGAAGTAGAGAGGAGAAATTGCTGGAAGTGGCAACAGAGGAGGTAATAGGATCTAATTTTATATTTTCACCCAGTAACCCCCCCGTCATGTCCGTCCTCTTCCTTTATCATTGCATCCGTCCTCTTCCTCCATCATCACGTCCCCCCTTTTCCTCCACTGTCATGTCTGTCCGCTTCCTCCACCGTCACGTCCATCCTCTTCTTCTACCGTCGCGTCCGTCCTTTTCCCCCACCGTCGCATCCGTCCTCTTCCTCCACCGTCGCGTCCGTCCTCTTCCTCCACCGTCGCGTCCGTCCTCTTCCTCCACCGTCGCGTCCGTCCTCTTCCTCCACCGTCGTGTCCGTCCTCTTCTTCTACCATCACGTCCGTCCTCTTCCCCCATCGTTGTGTCCGTCCTCTTCCTCCATAGTCACTGTGACATATTTTATAGGGACACAAGGACCTCTACAAGGACGTCATGATGGACAATCAGCCGCCCCTCACATCACCAGGTAAGAGGAGACTTTATTGGAAAGGAGAGAGCAGTACGGAGGCTCCACCTAGATCCCCCATCATCTGATAAACACATAGAAACCATGGATTCAGTCAGTGTGTGTGTTTCCTACAGATGGATCCAGTCATGGGAACCTACCGGAGAGATGTCCCCGTCCTCTGTATTCCCGGGATTCCACACAGGAAGGTCACACCATCCCTCACCATCATCAGGTAGATGAGGAACAATCACTGGTAGTTATGATTTATGCACAGCATGTTTGTTACAATTAATGTTTTAATATATATTTAGAGTGAAAATCTCAGGAATAATAATATTGTCAAAGAAGAGTATAAAGAGGAGGATGAGGAGTATGGAGTGATGGAGGAGTTTCCAGAAGGACACAAGGATATGATGGAGCCACCTAATACCAGGAACCCACCAGAGAGATGTCCCTGTCCTCTGTATTCCCGGGATTCCACACAGGAAGATCACACCATCCCTCACCATCATCAGGTTGGTGATTGACAATCACTGGTGGTTATACTTTATACAAAGGCATGTTTTTTACAATAAATGTTTTGTAATACATTCCAGAGTGGAAACCTCGGGGGTTATGATGGTATTGTTCCCAAAGAAGAGCATAAAGAGGAGGATGAGGAGCATTGTGTAATGAAGTTTTTAGAAGGACACAAAGATGTCATAATGGAACTGCCTGATACCAGGAACCCACCAGAGAGATGTCCCCGTCCTCTGTATTCCCGGGATTCCACACAGGGAGGTCACACCATCCCTCACCATCATCAGATAGATGGATCCAGTCATGGGAACCCACCAGAGAGATGTCCCCGTCCTCTGTATTTCCAGGATTCCACACAGGAAGATCACACCATCCCTCACCATCAGGTAGATGATTGACAATTATTGGTAGTTATGATTTATACACAGCATGTTTGTTACAATAAATGTTTTATTATATATTCAGAGTGGAAACCTCGGGGATGATAATACTGATGTTATAAAAGAGTTTAAAAAGGATGATTTGGAGTATGAAGTGATAGAGGAACTTTCAGAAGGACACAAGGATATGATGGAGCCACCTAATACCAGGAACCCCCCCCAGAGAGATGTCCCCGTCCTCTGTATTCCCGGGATTCCACACAGGAAGGTCACACCATCCCTCACTGTTGCAAGGTTGGTGGGACGGAGAATCTAGAACATGGACTCATGGAGACGATGTGTGGATTTTCTATGTGATGTCACAATAATAAATCTTCTATCTTACAGATGATATTTTCTCTCCTTCTCTTGATGTAGAGTGGAGATCCAATCGATATAGAATTTGAGGTGAAATCAGAAGAAGAAGAGGCGTATGTGAGGGATGATCAGCAGTCTATGGAGGAGGATGGAATAACAGGGACATTTATAGAGGAGGACACTCCTACAGAGATCAGCACAGGTGGGTCATGAACACTAAATCTATTCCTCCACCCATACTGCTCACTGATTGGTCCAGAGTAGGGCGGGGGGGCGGGGTGATATCAGCCTGGAATACCCTGGTCACTTTCCTGAGCTGTGTTCCCCGTCCTGTATTCCTGGATTTCTCTCGGATAATCTTCCTTCTCTGTGCTGCAGACACAATTTATGTCTCTAGACTGGATTTATGGAGAATCTGGGGATCAGCCGGCAGCAAAATGTTGATGTTCACCATAGGGGTTGATTGACCTGGGACATGTATATTGGGTCTTCTGCCACAGGTCAGGTCTAGAAAGATCTCTGACAGAACAATTCCCCCGGGGTTACTTACTCTGTGTGCTGGCTGTGCCGGGTGGAGGGAGATGTCTGTATAGTCTCAGACCCAAGTCACTGAGTGCAGTATCAGGAGATGGGAGGCAGCGGGGTGGGACCTCTGCAGGTTGTCTTAGTTAGTTAAATATTTAAGCCACCTCTGGTCACTGAACACCAATATTATGAGTCTTGACTACTATATACTCCATGTTGTACAGTCCTTACTTCTGCTCTCCCCCCTCCCCCCCCCCCCCCCCCCCCCCCCCCCACAGCTATATACAGTGAAGGAAATGCGTATTTACTTCCCGGCTGATGTTGAATGTTTGCCCACTCACAAAGAAATGATCAGTCTAAAAATCTAATGTTCGGTGTATTGTAACACTGAGAGACAGAATAGCAACAACAAATTCAGCAGAAATGCATGTCTAACAAATGATGACTGATCTGCATGTTCATGAGGGAAATAAGTATCTGATCCCTTTCACAAAACATGACTTAGTACTTGGTGGCAAATCCCTTGTTGGCAATCACAGAGGTCAGACGTTTCCTGGAGTTGGCCCCAGGTTCGCACACATCTCAGGAGGGATTTTGGCCCACTCCTCTTGGCAGATCCTCTCCAAGTCATTAAGGTTTGGTGGCTGATGTTTGGCAACTCGAACTTTCAGCTCCCTCCACAGATTTCCAATCGGATGAAGGTCTGGAGACTGGCTAGGCCACTCCAGGACCTTAATGTGCTTCTTCTTGAGCCGCTCCTTTGTTGCCTTGGCCGTGTGTTTTGGGTCATTGTCATGCTGGAACACCCATCCACGACCCATTTTCAATGCCCTGGCTGAGGGAAGAAGGTTCTCACCCAAGATTTGATGATGCATTGCCCCGTCCATCGTCCCTTTGATGCGGTGCAGTTGTCCTGTCCCCTTAGCAGAACCCCCCCCCCCCCCTCCCCCTCCCCAAAGCAGAATATTTCCACCATGTTTGACAGTTGGGATGGTGTTCTTGGGGTCATAGGCAGCATTCTTCCTCTTCCAAACACGGCGAGTTGAGTTGATACCAAAGAGCTGGATTTTGGTCTCATCTGACCACAACACTTTCACCCAGTCCTCCTCTGCATCATTCAGATGTTCAGTGGCAGACTTCAGACAGTCCTGGACATGTGCTTTCTTGAGCAGAGGGACCTTGCGGGCACTGCAGGATTTCAGTCCTTGTCGGCGTAGTGTGTTACCAATTGTTTTCTTGGTGACTGTGGTCCCAGCTGCCTGGAGATCATTGACAAGATCCTCGTGTAGTTCTGGGATGATTCCTCACTGTTCTCATGATCATTGACACTCCACGAGGTGAGATCTTGCATGGTGCACCAGTCCTAGGGAGACTGACACTTGTTTTGTGTTTCTTCCATTTGTGAATGATTGCATCAACTGTTGTCACCTTCTCACCAAGCTGCTTGGCGATACTTTGGTAGCCCAGTCCAGTCTTGTGTAGGTCTACAATCTTGTCCCTGACATCCTTGGACAGCTCTTTGGTCTTTGCCATGGTGGAGAGTTTGGAATCTGATGGTTTGATTGCTCCTGTGGACAGGTGTCTTTTATACAGGTAACAAAATAAGATTAGCAGCACTCCCTTTAAGAGACTGCTTCTAATCTCAGCGTGCCTGTATGAAAGACACCTGCTAGCCAGAAATCCTGTTGAATGATGGGGGATCAAATCCTTATTTCCCTCATGAACATGCAGATCAGTCATCATTTGTTAGACATTTCTGCTGAATTTGTTGTTGCTATTCTGTCTCTCAGTGTTACAATACACCGAATATTCGATTTTTAGACTGATCATTTCTGTGTGAGTGGGCGAACATTCAACATCAGTAAGAGAGCAAATACACATTTCCTTCACTGTATACACATAATATGTCTTCTCCTCTGTTCCCCCCCATTTCCTACCAGCTGGACATTTTATATCGGATGATGTGATTGGAGCACAGACTGTTACAGGGTGATAATAATGTGATCACATTCTCCAACCAGAAAGTGATAATGAGGGAGGAGCCAATACCCCAATGCTGGTGGTCTTCAGGATGGGGGAGGAGTCAATACCCCAATGACGGTTGTCTTCAAGATGAGTCCAGTCTTCCTCTTGGTTGTCCTCCCCCTATCCTCACTCTCTGACCTCTGGTGGGGCTCCTATCTAGTAATCCTCTTTGTCTTTGTATTTTAGTCCATGGCCGGGAGATGAGGAAAACCTCTGAGGATTGTCTCACTTTGTCTCCAGACTGGAAAGTAGAAGATGAGGACATCACACAGTATAGGCCAGGAGAAAACCCGGCTCCCTCCAATGTCCATCCGGCACCACCCAGAGTAGATGGACCTTCGGATTCCTTGTATCCTGTGGAACCTCAGATTGTGCGGGACCGGGCTGACCTTCCAACAGAGAAGATCTTCTCCTGTACTGAGTGCGGGAAATGTTTCCGTTTTAAATCTGGTCTTATTATGCATTTAAGATCTCACACAGGTGAGAAGCCGCATCCCTGCTCTGAGTGCGGGAAATGTTTTGTAAAAAAATCACAGCTTGTCAGACATCACATAACCCACACGGGTGAGAAGCCTCATTCCTGCCCTGAGTGCGGGAAATGTTTTTCATTGAAGTCACATCTTTACAGACATCAGAGATTGCACACAGGTGAGAAGCCTCATTCCTGTCCTGAGTGCGGGAAATGTTTTTCATTGAAGTCAAGTCTTTACAGACATCAAAGTTTGCACACGGGTGTGAAGTCGCTTTCCTGTCCTGAGTGCGGGAAATGTTTTTCAGAGAAGTCTAGTCTTCATGATCATCAGAGATCGCACACGGGGGAGAAGCCGTATTCCTGTCATGAGTGCGGAGCATGTTTTTCTAATAGGTCCAGCCTTTACAGACATCAGCGATTGCACACGAGTCAGAAGCTGCATTCCTGTCCCGAGTGCGGGATGTGTTATGCTCAAAAATCAGAACTTGTCATACATCTGATGTCTCACACGGGAGAGAAGCCGTATTCCTGTTCTGAGTGCGGGAAATGTTTTATAACAAAAGCACAACTTGTCATACATCAGAGGTCTCACACGGGGGAAAAAACCGTATTTCTGTTCTGAGTGCGGGAAATGTTTTTCAGACAAATCCTCTCATAACCGACATCAAAGATTGCACACGGGGGAGAAGCCGTATTCCTGTCCTGAGTGTGGGAAATGCTTTGCAAGGAATTCACATCTTTACAGACACCAGAGATCGCACACGGGTGAGAAGCTGTATTCCTGTCCTGAGTGCGGGAAATGTTTTTCAGAGAAGTCCAGTCTTGAAAGACATCAGAGACTGCACACAGGGGAGAAGCCACTTTCTTGTCCTGAGTGTGGAAAATGTTTTTCAGAAAAGTCCAGTCTTTATGAGCATCAGAGTTCCCACACAGGTGAGAAGCCTTATTCCTGTTGTGAGTGCGGGAAATGTTTTTCAAACAGGTCCAGTCTTTACAGACATCAGAAGTCTCACACGGGTGAGAAGCCGTATTCCTGTCGTGAGTGCGGGACGTGTTTTACACGAAAATCAGAACTTGCCAGACATCAGAGACTGCACACGGGGGAGAAGCCGTATTCCTGTCCTGAGTGCGGAAAATGTTTTTCAAGGAAGTCCAATCTTTACATACATCAGAGATCGCACACGGGGGAGAGGCCGTATTCCTGTCCTGAGTGTGGGAAATGCTTTTCTGTGAAGTCCAGTCTTTATGCGCATCAAAGATCTCACCCGGGCAAGAAGCCACGTTCCTGTCCTGAGTGAGGGAAATGTTCGTCACTGAAGACCTGTCTTCCTGTACATCAGGCGTCCCGCACAACCCTGGAGGTGGATTAATGCCTTGAGTGTGGGAAATATCTTCTAGAGAAATGTTGCTGGACATCCCAGCTCTCATTTTCTGGGAGCAAAGACCCTGAAGAATAAAATGGTAGTAGTTGTGAAGGAGTTCCTTGTATACAAATTCATATCCTGGGCTATCACTCCTCCCCCCGGGATTATTTCTCCCCCTCAATATCAGGGATTATCCCCCCTCCCTCATTGTCTGTTGTGATCTTTTCCACAATACCTTGTTATAATAATGGAACACGTTGTGTATTGTACACCAATCAATAACGGCTCCGCCTCTACATACCAGACCAATCAGATTTCTGCCTTTTACTATTACCTGATTTTTTTGACTGCAATCATAATAAAATTCTAATAAAACATGCATTGAATGGAAAAAAAAATGTTGTGTGCCGGGGTCAATGGCGGCAAAAATTCACTATCCATAAAATTGCTCATAAAAGCCTTTTCAGGTCATTGAGTACATTGTGAATAATGGCCGCAACGATAGCCGGCAGAAGAACAGCATAATCAGCTGCCCCTCCCGTAAAAACCACCCTGCATGTCCTCTTTGTTTCCTTCTCCCATTTCCTTCATTTCTGTGGACAGTGCACATCCGGTGGGTCTAGGCCTAGCATAGTCGCCATCAAAGCTTGTTCGGCTGCACTTCTCCCTTGGATCGTGAGGGAATAGTTTGTTCTGCGCTCCTGTGACCCGGATCCACCCACGACCGGCACCTGGCTCAGGTTCTCCGCGACCTGCTGCGAGCCTGACCCAGCCGTTCCTGCCCCCCCAACAGCTGGAGCACTGGGGGGGGGTATCACTCCTGACAGTCACCCCTTTCTGCTTAGATCAGCAGGGAGAACTGAGCGATCAACGGTGTCTGATCACTCAGTTTTCACTCTTAGAGCCGGCGGGGGCCAGATGAAGCATCGAATTGATGCCGCATTCACCTAGGCACGTAGCATTTTTAAAAAAAAAAAAAAACCCAAAACTTCACTTTTAACCCCTTCACGCCTGAAGTAAAACAAATCTTAGCACCTAAGCACAATTTTGCAAATTTGACCTGTGTTAGTAAAACCGTCCGTATCATCACAGCTACTTTGTACATTCGGGTGCTGCGTTTTTTTCAGGACAAATTGGGCTTTCAGTTGGTGGTAAATGGGAATGGATATCTCCTCCTTGTGAGTAATGGCCCCAACGATAGCCGGCAGAAGAACAGCATAATCAGCTGCCCCTCCCGTAAAACCACCCTGCATGTCCTCTTTGTTCCCTTCTTTCATTTCTGTGGACAGTGCACATCCGGTGGGTCTAGGCCTAGCATAGTCGCCATCAAAGCTTGTTCTGCTGCACTTCTCCAGATCATGAGACAGCAGTTCGTTCTGCGCTCCTGTGACCAAGGAGCCGGGACCGGCACCTGGCTCAGCTTCTCCGCGATCTGCTGAGAGTCTGACCCAGCCACTCCTGCCCCCTCCACAGCTGGAGCACTGGGGGTCGCCCCGGACAGTCACCCCTTTCTGCTCAGAGCAGCAGGGAGAACTGAGCGATCAACTGAGTCTGATCACTCAGTTCTCACTCTTAGAGCCGACGGGGGCCAGATGAAGCATCGGATTAATGCTGCATTCACCTAGGTAAGTATAATTTTTTTTTGAAAAAAAACCCAAAACTTCACTTTTAACCCCTTCACGCCTGAGGGTAAAACAAATCTTAAAGCCTAAGCACAATTTTGCAAATTTGACGTGTGGTAGTAAAACCGTCCGTATCATCACAACTACTTTGCATGTCCAGGTGCCGTGTTCTATTTCAGGACAAATTGGGCTTTCAGTTGGTGGTAAATGGGAATGGATATCTCCTCCTTGTGAATAATGGCCCCAATGATAGCCAGCAGAAGAACAGCATAATCAGCTGCCCCTCCTGTAAAGCCACCCTACACGTCCTCTTTGTTCCCTTCTCTCATTTCCTTCATTTCTGTGGACAGTGCACATGGGGTCTAGGCCTAGCATAGTCGCCATCAAAGCTTGTTCTGCTGCACTTCTCTGAATCACGAGACAGCAGTTCGTCGTTCTGCGCACCTGAGACCTGTTTCCAGCCGACAGCGGGATCCATCCAGGAGTCGGGACCGGCACCTGGCTCAGCTTCTCTGCTGAGAGTCTGACCCAGCCGCTCTTGCCCCTCCACCGCTGGAGCACTGGGGGTCACCCCTTTCTGCTCAGAGCAGCAGGGAGAACTGAGCGGTTAACGATGTCTGATCACTCAGTTCTCGCTCTTAGAGCTGGCGGGGGCCAGATGAAGCATCAGATTGATGCTGCATTCACCTAGGTAAGTATAATTTTTTTGAAAAACCCCAAAACTTCACTTTTAACCCCTTCGACACCCCGGTCGTTATGCTGTGAGCGCGCTGTTCGGTACGCAAATATGCGGCCCCCATGGAAAAATGCCCAGTCCTGTGACACCGCATATTTGTGTGACGCCGGTGGGAAGGGGTTAAGCTTGCCTTTACTAACTGCTCAGTGTTTTCTTTTTCATATCGTATTACTCCTGGATACTACTCTCAATGATTTTCTGTGTACTATTGCATGCTTCGTACGCTCAACTGCGTGTGTCGGAGGAGCTTATGTTCTTACAGAGGTTGAGGCAAAGGATAGAGGACCCAACGTAACCAGCAGCACCTATGGGGGTAGCACTACATTAGGACTATGTCGTATACAGCCCGTCGTACAGAGTGCAGGGGTCAGAGGTAGATCTTAGGTTAGTATACAAACTGCGGTGGTCATATATATATAGCAAAGCCTAAAAAGTGCAGTGGTTAGCAAGCTATAATATTCGTTTACTGACCATGGTTGCTAAGGAAGCAGCAGCCGCCAGCACCCAACGCGTCCTTACCAACCAATGACGTCACCCGGCCCATTCACTGTCATATACAACCCAGCATACCGAGTACACTGGTCCAGAACATGTCATGTACAGCTGAGTGTATGGAGTAGAGTATTAGAACCATGCTACTCATAGAGTCACTAGTAGGAAAGAACATTCCCAACTGTCAATGGTTGCTGAGGAAGCAGCAACTACTTCTAAGGAAGCAGCAGCTGCTTGCACCAGCTACATCCTCACCAACCACTGACATTACCTGGCCCATTTCACTTACATGGCTGGGAATCCCCAACCACGTAAGCAAATGGGTAGGGAGACGAGCATTACACCATTGCCTGAATATGGTCACATGGCCATAGTTGACCAATGATGTCACCATTATACCCGCCCCTTCCTTTATATAGCTGAGGACCACCTAGGCAGGGGTAGGCAACCTGCTGTTCTCCAGCTGTTGCAGGACTACAAGTTCCATCATGCCTCTGCAAGTCATAGCTGTAACTGTCAATTTTAAGAGCCGCAGGTTGCCTACCCCTGACCTAGGGGAACCTGATCGGAAGGTTCAGTTGGAGGTTTGACCCATTTAGTTTAGCCATTCACTGACCCTTCACACAAGTCAAATTCTGTGTAAACATGGGTTCAGTCCAAACCCGGATCGAATTCCAAAGTAGCTGTTTATTGGTCTCTTACCTTGGTGACCAACGGGAGAACGATATTCCTAAATTGTCATCGGTGGGAAGACCGCCCCCTTACAGGTCATTGATGTCAGTTGCTATATGAAGGACATTCTCTCATCATCTTGAAAACATTGTTACAAAGAGAGTGAAATTGTTCATTGCTCAAGGAACCCCTAGAACCCTTTGGAGGAACCCTGGCTGAGAAAGGCTGGACTAGGCAGTCATATATTTCTGTCTCCCTTGGTGGTACCCTACGGACTAAGACTGGGATGCCATTAAAGTTCATGTGGTGTCCCAATACTTTTGGCAATGTAGTGTATTTCTGTCCCCCTTGGTGGGAGTGGAGGTGACCCCTCTATGAGAACATACAGTCCATCCACACCACCAAACACAAGGCTGGGGTCACACTACCAGACGGTTCTCAGGGCTGCAGTTCCTCTGAGCTCCATAAGGTGGGGATCTCACTTCTACCCAGACAGGAAGTCTCTATGGAAGACAGGAAGTGATGTCAGGTATATAAACAAACGTTCCTGGTGAGTGGGGAGGAAGTAGAGAGGAGACATTGCTGGAAGTGGCAGCAGAGGAGGTAATAAGATCTGATTTTCTATTTATTATTATTATACAGTATTTATAAAGTGTCAGTTTGCTCAGCGCTGACTACACCCAGTAACTCCCCATCATGTCCATCCTCTTCCTCCATAGTCATGTCTGTCCTCTTCCTCCACAGTCGCGTCGGTCCTCTTCCTCCACCGTCACATCCATCCTCTTCTTCCACCGTCACGTCCGTCCTCTCCCTCCATCGTCACATCTGTCCTCTTCTTCCACCGTCACGTCTGTCCTCTTCCTCCACCGTCACGTCCGTCCTCTTCCTCCATCGTCATGTCCGTCCCCTTCCTTCACCGTCACGCCCTTCCTCTTCCTCCATCGTCATCATAGTAAGTCCCAGTGTCCCTCCATCTGGCTCTTTTCTTACTTTTTCGTTGTTCTTAGGATGTAGGTGGATCCATGCCATTCTCATGTGCGAAGCAGGAGAGGTCTTTCACCTATGGAGAGAGGGTGGGGGTCCGGGGTTCCTGTGTGGGGAAATTATACCTCAGCCTGAAGCGTGGCTTTATTACAATGGAGAGTCAGGTGAGGAGGATTCTGGGAATGTCATTTCATTTTACTATTTGTGATCTAATCTACAGTCTTCCTCCTGTGAAGTCTGGAGATCATTTGACATCACATTGCCTCCACCTCCCTCCCTGATAGAAGAGAGAAAGAAGAAGATTCTAGAAGTGACAGGAGAGGTGAGCGGTGTCGGGAATTCTGGGACATTCTCCAGTAACAGACAAGGGATGTGTCTGGATGGTGACTGTATCATTGTGTGTGTCAGGTCCCTATAAGGTGTCAGGGTGTCACTGTCTATTTCTCCATGGAGGAGTGGGAGTATATAGAAGGACACAAGGACCTCTACAAGGACGTCATGATGGACAATCAGCCGCCCCTCACATCACCAGGTAAGAGGAGACTTTATTGGAAAGGAGAGAGCAGTACAGAGGCTCCACCTAGATCCCCCATCATCTGATAAACACATAGAAACAATGAATTCAGTCAGTGTGTGTGTTTCCTACAGATAGATCCAGTCATGGGAACCCACCAGAGAGATGTCCCCATCCTCTGTTTTCCCGGGATTCCACACAGGAAGGTCACACCATCCCTCACCATCATCAGGTAGGTGGATCCAGTCATGGGAACCCACCTGAGAGATGTCCTTGTCCTCTGTATTCCTGGGATTCCACACAGGAAGGTCACACCATCCCTCACCATCATCAGGTAGGTGGATCCAGTCATGGGAACCCACCTGAGAGATGTCCCCATCCTCTATATTCCTGGGATTCCACACAGGAAAGTCACACCATTTCTCACCATCATCAGGTAGATGATTGACCATTATTCGTAGATATGATTTATACACAGCATGTTTGTTACAATGAATGTTTTATTATATATTCAGAGTGGAATCCTCGGGGATGATAATATTGTTGTTAAAGAAGAATTTAAAGAGGAGGATGAGGAGTATGGAGTGATGGAGGAGTCAGAGATTCCAGAAGGACACCAAGATCTGTACCAGGACACCATGGTGGAGTCATCCAGCTACAGGAACCCACCAGAGAGATGTCCCCGTCCTCTGTATTCCCGGAATTCCACACAGGAAGGTCACACCATCCCTCACTATTACAAGGTTGGTGGGACGGAGAATCTAGAACATGGACTCATGGAGACGATGTGCGGATTTTCTATGTGATGTCACAATAATAAATCTTCTATCTTACAGATGATATTTTCTCTCCTTCTCTTGATGTAGAGTGGAGATCCAATCGATATAGAATTTGAGGTGAAATCAGAAGAAGAAGAGGCGTATGTGAGGGATGATCAGCAGTCTATGGAGGAGGATGGAATAACGGGGACATTTATAGAGGAGGACACTCCTACAGAGATCAGCACAGGTGGGTCAGGAACACTAAATCCATTCCTCCGCCCATACTGCTCACTGATTAGTCACTGACCCATTTCCTAGTTCACTTCAGGGTGGAATTGTAAGCTCCTCAGAGACCAAGATGCATGATGTGGGCGGAGTCCTGGTTTAGGGGAACCAATCAGATCCTGTCTAGTAATTCTCTTTGTCTTTGTATTTTAGTCCATGGCCGGGAGATGAGGAAAACCTCCGAGGATTGTCTCACTTTGTCTCCAGACTGGAAAGTAGAAGATGAGGACATCACACAGTATAGTCCAGGAGAAAACCCGTCTCCCTCCAATGTCCATCCGGCACCACCCAGTGTAGATGGACCATCGGATTTCCTCGTATCCTGAGGAACCTCAGACTGTGCGAGACCAGGCCGGCCTTCCAACAGGGAAGAGCTTCTCCTGTCCAGAGTGTGGGAAATGTTTTTATTTCAAATCCAAACTTATTGTACATAAAAGATCTCATACAGGAGAGAAAACACATTCCTGCCCTGAGTGCGGGAATTTTTTTTTAACAAACTCCGATCTTCACAGACATAAGAGGGATCACAGGAGGGAGAAGCCATATTCCTGTTCTGAATGCAGGAAATGTTTTGTACAAAAATCAGAACTTGCCACACATCAGCGGTCTCACACAGGGGAAAAACCGTATTCCTGTCCTGAGTGCGGGAAATGTTTTTCACTAAAGTCCAATCTTCACAGACATCAGCAATCGCACACTGGTGAGAAGCTGTATTCCTGTCTTGAGTGCGGGAAATGTTTTGCACAGAAATCCAATCTTTACACACATCAAAGACTGCACACGGGGAAGAAACCTTACGCCTGTCCTGAGTGCGGGAAATGTTTTTCAGAGAAGTCACATCTTTGCAGACATCAGAGGCTGCACACGGGGGAGAAGCCTTTTTCCTGTTCCGAATGTGGGAAATGTTTTGTAGAAAAATCACAACTTGTCACACATCAGAGGTCTCACACGGGGGAAAAGCCGTACTCCTGTCCGGAGTGCGGGAAATGTTTTGTACAAAAATCAGAACTGGTCAAACATCAGAGGTCTCACACGGGGGAGAAGCCGTATTTTCTGTACTGAGTGCGGGAAATGCTTTTCACAGAAGTGCAGTCTTTATAGACATCAGAGATCCCACATGGGAGAGAAGCCACGTTCCTGTTCCGAGTGAGGAAAATGTTTTGCTCCAAAATCGGAACTTGTCATACATCAGAGGTCTCAGATGGGCGAGAAGCCGTATTCCTGTCCTGAGTGCGGGAAATGTTTTTTCAAGGAAGTTGCATCTTTTCAGACATCTCACACGAGGGAAAAGCTGTATTTCTGTCCTGAGTGCGGGAAATGTTCTTCAAGGAAGACGCATGTTTTCAGACATCGGAGATTTCACACGAGGGAGAAGCCACGTTCCTGTCCCGAGTGAGGGAAATGTTCCTCACTGAAGTCCTGTCTTCCTGTACATCAGGGGTCCCACACAACCCTGGAAGTGTATTAGTGCCATGAGTGCGGGAAATGTCTTCTAGATGAATGTTTGCTGGACATCCCAGCTCTCATGTGGGGAAGAAGCACACCCTGATATACACCTCAGATATACTCCATGGCTGATCTTCATCATGGACGAAACCGTTCATAAGGAGGTCAGAGGTCACCAAAGACGTGGATGAAGGGTGGGACCAGGTTGGCCATTGATAGCAGGAGAAGAATAAAAATGGCGTCCTCACTTGTCATTGGCTGAGTACATTTTGTGGTGGGAGATTTCACAAACACTTTGAGGTCGATAAAAGAAATATGATCAGCATTCGCTCAGCCGTGCTGTTGGTTGCATTTTATTTCACACAGTGATTTCCTTTGCTCATTGGCTCCATCCAGTGGCCATAATGCGGAATTACTTTTCCTGATTATTTTCAGGAACATTACCTCCTATGGACACTAGATGGAGCTGACAACTATAGGAAATCTCTGTGTCAGAATGTGTCCCATCCCCCCCAAACACATTGGTTCTCAAGGGACCCCTCAGTTACCTCGCTCAGGCGTTTTGGGGCGTAAGATTTCACCAACACTTAGAGGTCTTCGTTGAATGAATGTGACCTGCATTCGTCCAGCCACAACAAATTTTGCCCAGTGATTTCCTGTGATCATTGGCTCCATCTAGTGGTTATAATATAGTATTTTTTTTTTGGTTTTTTTTTTCTGATGGAGGTATTTCAGAAAAAATACCTCATTACGGCCACTAGATGGAGCTGATGATCTAGGAAATCACTGTGTTCAGTTATAGCTGGGATTTATCAAGGCTGGGCAGCACAATGTTTAGCACTTTCTCCTGGCAGTAATGGGGTTGTCGGTTCAAATCCCAACCACGGCACCACCTGCCTGGAGTTTGCATGTTCTTCCTGTGCCTGCGTGGGTTTCCTCCACATGTTCTGGTTTCTTCCCACACTCCAAAGACATGGTGGGAAGTTAATTGGCTCCCGTCTACATTGTCCCTAGTATGTGTATGTATGGATGTGAGTTAGGGACCTTAGATTGTACGCTCCTTGGGGGCGGGGCCTGATGTGAATGTACAATGTATATGTAAAGTGCGGCATACATTGACCTGAAATAAATAAAATGGGCGCCTCGTTCGTCCAGCACATCTTTTTATAAATCGACTCCTCCGTTCTCTTTGTCAGGCCGGATCTCATGCAGACAACGGGGACTATAAAGGATGACAGGTAATCGAACCGATGGAGTTCAACCAACCGATTATTTAGCCCAGGTACAGAGTGCAGTGGTCAGGAGTATATCATATACAGCCCTGTGTATAGAGCGCAGGGGTCAGGAGTATATCATATACAGCCCAGGGTACAGAGCACGGGTCAGGAGTATATCATATACAGGCTCCTATACAAACCAGTGGTCAGGAATATGTTCGGTGTATAGCCAATCCTAAAGAGTGCAGTGGTTAGGAGTATTTCCTTTACAGCCCGATGGAGGGAGAAAGGCTGGACTAGGTAGTCATATATTTCTGTCCCCCTTGGTGGGAGTGGAGGTGACCCCTTTATGAGGACATACAGTCCATACACCCAGCACAAGGCCGGGGTCACACTACCAGATGGTTCTCGGGGCTGCAGTTCCTCTGAGTTCCACAAAGTGGTGATCTCACTTCTACCCAGACAGGAAGTCTCTATGGTAGACAGGAAGTGATGTCAGGGACAGACAGGAAGTGATTTCAGCTATAAATAGGAAGTTCCTGGTGAGAGGAGGTCAGGAGGAAGTAGAGAGGAGACATTGCTGGAAGTGGCAGCAGAGGAGGTAATAAGATCTGATTTTATATTTACATCCAGTAACCCCACCGTCACGTCCGTCCGTCTTCCTCCACCATCACATCCGTTCTCTTCCTCCACCGTCTTGACCATCCTCTTCCTCCACGCCCGTCCTCTTCCTCCTCCGTCACGTCCTTCCGCTTCCTACATCGTCACGTCCCGTCCTCTTCCTCCACCGTCGCGCCCGTCCTCTCCCTCCACCGTTCGCGCCCGTCCTCTCCCTCCACCCTCGCGCCCGTCCTCTCCCTCCACCGTCGCGCCCGTCCTCTCCCTCCACCCTCACGCCCGTCCTCTTCCTTCATAGTCACTGTGACGTCTTTTATCTCCAGCAGATGATACACACATATATATAGTGTGGGAACCCAGATTAACTCCTTCAGGGGCAGAACATTCCCCCACTTCCGGGGCCGGAACATTCTCCTCATTGTGGAGATGTCACCTTCCCACCAATCACCTTCTCTCCTTCTCAGTCTATACTGACCCATTATACCAGTGTTATCATCCCTCCCACCAATGGGGGGGATCCCAGGGTCCAGCACATAACACAGTCTGGCTGTAAGGGACCGCCCGGCGGTACCACTAGCACTCCACTGATCGGATGTTCCCAGCGCACGGAGTCTAAGCCCCAGAGTACTTGTTCACCAGGGCCCCTGATGGTGGGGATGGACTTGGAGTACCCCAGGACCAGGTCGTGACTACTGAGGACACCCGTCAGTGGTAGGGGTATTCGCCAGGGGCTCCCACGGGAGAGAGCCAGGTATGAGGAGGTCTGGAGACCCCGTTGAGAGGGATGGATGGATGGCTGAGCAGGTGCAGGGTCATACAAGCCGGGTCGGTAACTATGGGGACGGTGCGGTACAGAGCAGCGGGCAAAGATTAGTCGGGTCACACGCCAGGTCAGCAACAGCAGGTCAGATCCAATAGGGGGCATTCAGGAGAGAGGTCAGGCAAGCAAGGGTCAAGAACAGGAGAAAACAGCAAGGTCAGGGCACAATCCGGGTCAGCAACTTACTTTAAAAACAGGTTCACAGGATACAAGAGACCAAAAGGCACTGAATGACAGCTCAGGGCCGTTTAAATATCCCGCCCTGCGCTGTCATTGGTGCCAGGCGCGCGCCCGTGGTCACTACTGCGCATGCGCGAACCTGATTGCCCGCGGTCGGCCAAGTCCCGGCGCTCGCGTACAGGGAGGTGTACTGCGCCTGCGCCGAGCCCCAGCGGCGCGGCGATCTCCGACATTGCCCCCCCCCCTACGGGCAACCTCCGGATGCCCACCCGATCTCTCCACCACGGGTGATCACGAAGAAACTCCCGGACTAGTCTAGGTGCGTGGACATTATGAGCCGGTTCCCAGGATTGTCCTCAGGACCATAGCCCTTCCACTTAATTAGGAATTTGGGTCTGGCCCCCCCTTCTTCGGCACTTAAGGATCGTTTCCACCTCAAATTCCTCTTGTCCTTCGACCGTTATGGCCTCTGGGGGTCTGGATTCTTGTTCTGGGAAGGCATCTGGGATCACTGGCTTCAGCAGGGATACATGGAAGACTGGATGAATTCTGAACGTGTCCGAAAGGATAAGCTCATATGCCACTTCGTTGACCATCCGCTTTACCTGAAAAGGCCCCACAAATTTAGGTCCCAATTTTTTCGAGGGACAAAGCATCTTTAAGTTGGTTGTGGCCAACCACACCTTCTGCGCAACGCCAAATCCCCCTCTTCGTTTCTTGTTAAACTCCTTCTTATTGTCCTCTTGGGCCCGAGCGATGGCTTCCTGGGTAATTTGTTATTGACGGAGAAGAAGGTCAACGCATCCTGCGCTGCTGGAACCGGGCATTCAGAGACCAAATCAGGGAGAAAGACAGGGTGAAACCCATAATTCGAAAAGAATGGGGACTGCCCCGTTGCCGAATGGCTTGCGTTGTTATAAGCGAACTCCGCCAGGGGTAAGAGTGACAACCAATCATCCTGCAGAAAGACGTGTAGCAACGCAAGTATTGCTCCAGGGTCTGATTCGTCCTCTCGGTCTGACCGTTGGTCTGAGGGTGGAACGCGGAGGAGAGGGACAACTTGATGTCCAGGGCCTTGCACAGAGCCCTCCAAAACTTAGATGTAAACTGGACCCCTCGGTCAGAGACGATGTCCTCAGGTACTCCATGAAGTCTAAACGATCTCCCGGATAAATATTCGCGCCGTCTCGGCTGCTGACGGAGTCTTCCTTAGTGGCACGAAGTGAGCCATTTTGGATAGGCGATCAATGACCCACCAGAATTGCTGTGTGGTCTTGCGACGGTGGGAGCTCGACTATGAAGTCCATCGCGATCTTCTGCCAAGGCCGTTCGGGAATCGGCAAAGGTCGCAACAGCCCCCAGGCTTTGCTCCTTGATGGTTTGCTCTTCTGGCAGATGGTACAGGATCTCACGTAGCGCTTGCAATCCTTTAGCCATGTTTGGCCACCAAAACGAGCGCCGGAGAAGCTCCAGAGTCTTGACTGGGCCAAAGTGACCTGCCAGCGGGTGATCGTGGCAATGCCCCAAAACCAGGGTCCGGACTTCCTCAGGTACCACGATAGAATCTTCCTTCCACAGGAGTCCCCCTTTGTTCTGGAGGGATACCCCAACAGGGGG